CACCCAGCACCCAGCACCCAGCACCAGCACCCAGCACCAGCACCAGCGCCAGCGCCAGCGCCGGCGCCAGCGCCAGCACCAGCACCAGCACCTCCATCGACAGCAACAACAAAAACAACGGCAACAACAACACAGCAACAACAACACCAACACCAACACCAACCAACACCAGCACCAGCACCAGCACCAGCACCAGCACCAGCGCCAGCGCCAGCGCCAGCGCCAGCACCAGCACCAGCACCAGCACCAGCACCAGCAACTGCAACTGCAACTGCAACTGCAACTGCAACTGCAACTGCAACAGCAACAGCAACAGCACCACCACCACCACCACTACCACCACCACCACCACCACCACCACCACCACCACCACCATGCGAGTGACAGAACCCTTGTAGATCATGTAACAACTAGCAGTAATCATGAAAATGAAGTTGCAGCATCGTGGTGATTGCAGCGATCCTTCAGAAGAGCAACAGTATCTAGGCTTGCGCAAACGACCATGACTCACAGTCTCATCTTATCGCCCTTCGACTGCCGAGCGTCCAATGTCGTGCGCTGGAATGAGCTGGTGCACATCATCCGCTGCACACTTCTTGTAGACCAGAGCCATGTTTTTCTGAGAGGGCCGGGATATGAGTATGTGAGGTTCAGGGTCAATGGTGTAGGGTTGCGCATTGCGATTTTGAAGGCCATGTTCTGATGTCTTCGGAGGACGAGTCTCTGCCGTTGTCACCGCCCAGCTATACCTTGCTAAGCTACGACTCCTGCGCACCTTCCCCGCAAAGGGCGGATATTCCTGTTGCAAGGCAGGAGTGCAAGTTTGGGTAAACCCCAAAACCCCACAACTCCAGGTCCTGAAACCCTAAACTTCTAAACCCCACAACCCCAAGCACCAAAACCCTTAACCCCGCACCCCAAACCATAAACCCCAAAACCCCACAACCCCAAGCCCCAAAACCCTAAACCCCGCAACCCCAAACCATAAACCCCACAACCCCACAACCCCAAGCCAACCCCCCAAACACCCGAAACGCCTCCATGGGTTCCACGGCCACACATTGATTGTCCAAGTCGTTAATGCGAAGGCGCCTGGTCAAAGGACTTGAGAAGCTCTGCCCCGCACTAACAAATAGACTAGGGTTCCTGTAACGGTTTTCTATACATAAGAGTTGCTCTAAGGGTTGCATAAGGGCTCCTGTATGTAGGGGTCTTATCTAGACACAGGGTTGTGGGAGATAATGTGCCTGCGCCAATATTTTGAGGAACTCTAGGGCCATAAGGAATCATCATAGTAAGTATTCGGGCGTGTATAGCAAATGCGGAGCCTGGCATGTCCTTGCTGAGGGAGTGTTGCAGCAAGGGGATTGACATCCAAGGTGTGGGATCGTGCAGGAGTTTTAAGTTGCTCGGCCTGCCAACTACAGTCGATGGGTTTGGTTTATCCATGAGAAGGACTTTGCTGTGCAGGCCATAGCTCAGCGTACTTGAGGTCATGCAAGATGTTGTCCATGAACATTCGCACCCGAGTCGCTGGGCGTTGGGATAAAGCTCCGGGTGGCGAGGACTTGTGCGTTTCTAGTTCATGTCGGTGTCAGGAATGCGACAGCGAATTCTCACTAGTACTGTGCACACAGACAGCAATCCCATGCAAGGCCGTCTGAGGCCAGTCAAGGCGAGCCAGGAACGCTAGGGTTATTGAGGGTCTTTCCGGCTTCAGGCTTGGTGTCAAAGCCATGCCTGCTGGAGATGTCGGAGTCCTTCCAGGACTGGAGGCTGTAATCCTCGGCTGCCACTGTGAAGGCTCCCTGTACCCTGCACCCGAAACCTCTCATCCCTATCAGCCCAGCCAATTCTAAACTCTAAACCCTTTGCCCTGAACGCCAGTAGTTACCCTCAACCATATGCTTAAACCCTAAACCCTAAACCCTGAACCTTCAACCATATGCCCTAAGCCCTACACCCGAAGCACCTTGTGACCAAGGAACTGTCGGACAGGTCTTCGCCTGGAGCAGAGTCATCTCGTTCTCCTGCGAGGAAGGGGGCTTTTCGGGTTTTAAGGGTAGGGTTTAGGGTTTAGGGTTTAGGGTTTAGGGTTTAGAAGGGTTCAGGGTTTGGGGGCGTTTAGGGGCGGGGGTTCTAGAGTAAGTTTAGGGTTGAGGGGCGTTGGTGGTTTTCAGAGGGTTTATACGGGTGTCTGTGGGTTTAGAATTGGGGCTTAGCACTTAGGGCTTGGGCCTTGAGGGTTGAGGGTTCGGGTCAGGGTAAACCCTAAACCCTAAACCGTCGTGGAGGTTGCGAAGGTTCACTCAGGCTGTCGGAGGAGTTGGGTCTGCAGAGTGTTGCGTTTCCTCTTCTTCGCCAGCCAGGCCCAAAACAACTTAAGTGTTTGTGTGGGTGTGTGTGTATATATATATATATATGCACGTGCATGTACATATCCAAACCGAATTTTTGTACATGTCACATACACACATACACCCCAGCATGTATGTGTGCATATATACATACGTACAGCGACTATTCTATGCTTTCTGGTACTAAGCAAAGCAGGCGAGCGACAGCCACAACGAAAACAGCGACAGTGGCAAGAACAACAACATGGTGGCATAAACACATCCCTTAGTCTGCTAACGACGTCGCCAAGCACACCCACTAACAAACGCAGCAAGCAAAAGAGAGCAACAGTCTCCCACAATATCTGCAAATACAAGTCTGACGGGACTACAGGAGCACCAGCTGCCACATCCATCTCCAAGACCGCCCAAACTGCCGCCAGCAATCACCAACACCGACACACTGCAAATATGATGATGACACATGTCTCCAGATGGTGATGATAATGGTGGCCCACTGGTGGCTATGACGGCGAAGATGATGATGACTGTTGTTCCTCTGAGGACCTCAGTTCACATTATATCTATAAAATGTACATCTAGATATACAGATGTATATATGTATGAACATTTTTAAGTATATTTGCCTATATAAAAATATATTTGTGTATATGTATATATATATATACATGTGTATATGTATATGCAAATACCTATAACTCTGTCTATATCTAGATATACATATGTATGTATGTATGTATGTATGTATGTATGTATGTATGTATGCATGCATGTATGTATGTATGTATAACCTATAAATACACGCGTAGGTATATATATATATATATAGATGTGTAGGTATATCTACATACACATATACACACACACGGATATATGTATATATATATATATACATATATATATATGCACACACACAGAAATACATCTACTTTTTTCTGTAGTTCAGCAGGAACTTAAGGACCCGCCAGTTCCAAGGGCTCCAGCTTCCCCTGGCAGATCATCAGCGCAGCCCGGAGGCACATCTCACCGTGGACGCTGAAGCCGTGGAGTTCTGGGTTTAGGGTTCAAGGTTCAGGGTTCAAGGTTCAGGGTTCAGGG